GGGGACGGGGTGATCACTCACGGTCGCTGTCGGTGGGGGAGCGTCGGCCCTCGGGGCTGCACGGGACGTGGGTGCCGTTCGCCTGCGGCAGCTTCGGCGTCGCCGTCGAGCTGTTGCTGGAAGGAAATGGGGTGGGGGGGGAGAAGTTACTGCCAGAGCTGGTGCCATGGGGTGGGGGTACAGGGGTGCTGCTGTAGCAAAGCCACCGTGTCCCCAGCGCCCGTCCCACCTGAGGCAGGAGGTGTCCTGGAGCCGGGAGACTTCTAGCCGGCACAACGGCTCCGTCACGTTCCTGGCGCTCAGCGAGAAGCGCTCGAACTCGGACGGCGAAATTAGGTAGAAACCTAGAGGTGGGGGGGGACAACAAAGAGCCTCAGGGACCCCCGCCGCGGGGCTGCAGCCAGAGAAAACGTCCCATCTACGAGGGACATCACCCCCAGCGCAGGGCTGGTGTCCTCACCCTGGCCATGCTTGGTGAAGACGCAGGAGGCGATGCCGCTGATGTCCTCTTTGCGGATGCAGCCATAGTGGACCTGGGGCCGCAGGCCGGGCACGGTGAAGATGTGGATGTCGCCCAGGTTGGTGAGACAAGCCAGGCAGTTCTCCAGCCGCTCCTCGGAGCCGGCGCTGACCAGGCTCACCAGGGCCACCTTTCGCACCCGGCAACCCTCGTGCGCCGTCAGCTTGAATTTGGTCTTGGCGCTCACTTTGGGCAGCGTGAAGACCTGGGGGGACGAGAGGAGCCGGGTACCAGGGAGGAACAGGAACCTGCGGGGTTTCAGGGGTCACCCGAGCAGCCTCCCACCATGGAAGCCCTTGGCAAAGGGCAGCACCTTCCCCTTGGAGCTACCACCCCCGGGACAGGCATAGGAGTGCCCCAGGAACCTGGCTGGTCACCTCCAGCCCCCGTCCTTGCTCCTGGGGTGATGGGGACACCCAGAGAGGACATGGGACACGTTGTGGGTGGTGGGTCCCATCCCCGCCGCAGTGGGGACACCGAGCCCCAGGCTCACCTTGAACTGCTCCTCGGAGGAGATGAGCATGGAGTGGCTGCCCTGCATGTCGGGGGCCTTGGCCAGGTCCCGTGAGACCTCGTAGGGCTCGGGCAGGGGGTTCCCTCGTCCGTCCAGCACCGCAATGGACACCACCGGTGCCCGGTGCATCAGCTGGATTTCCTTCCCCAGCACCGCCTCCACCGCCCGCTCCGAAAACTTCTCCTGCGATGGCACTTCCAGGGCATAGGCGAACACTGAGCCAGAGTTGGTCCCTGCCCACATCGTGGGGCCGTGGTGGGCGGCTGCGGGGATGGGAGCAGCGTCAGAGCCCCCTTCCCTACAGCGTGGCACCAGCCAGACCCAGCTCGGGGGACTTTTCCCAGGGAAGCCGGGGTGGGGGTCTCACCGTCTCGGAGGAAGGTGTCGGCGAAGTAAAGGCACCGCACCACCCCCGAGAGCGAGTCGTCAGCCGAGCGAGGCTCAATCCGCCGCTGCACAGGCGTCATCTCCACCTCGGGGGGTCCTGCTTGCTCCGCCAGCTGCGCGTTGGCTTCTTGCACCTGAGGAGGGGGACACGGGGGTCAGCCCCTGCCCGGTGGGGATGAGGAGCAGTCGTGGCGACCCCCACTCCCTGCCCACCTTGCTGGAGGGGCTGCTGGCATTGAGCCTCTTCTTGCCCGACACCCGGCTCTTGCGGATGCGACGGAAGGACTGCCGCAGGGACTTCTTGAGGGACTTCACCCGGGACAGGGGCCCCTCCATGGCCAGCGAGTCGTTGGGGTGCAGCGTACACCTGTGGGTACCGACGTCACTCAGCGCCCAGAACCCTGCCGCATCGCTCTGGGCGGGGGGGGGGTCCCTAGCATCAAAATCCACCCCCACCCATACCTGGCCAGCACAGGGTTACGCCGGTAATAGTCAAAGAGTCCAAAGCCGTGGCTGGTGCCGAAAGCCACGAGGTTCCACTCGGAGTGGAGGGTGATGGCGGTGACGGCAGCGGGGGGCATGCACTGCACCAGCACGCTGGGCTGGAAGCCGGGGGCGAAGGGCAGAGGCCCATTCCTGGGGGCCAACCGGTCGTGGCCCTTCCAGGTGAAGCCCTCACGATCCTGCAGCAGGTCCACCGTGGCCACGCTGACCGCGTGCTCCGACTTCTCGTCGCTCAGCTCCATCACCAGCACCTGCAGGGGAGAAGCGTTGATGGTGGGGGAACATGTGCCAGCCCCACACCAGGACAGCCCACCCTGCTGCAAGCCGGGGGCAGAAGCCCTTCACGGACAGGCACAGGGGTCTGAAGCCCCCCCTCCATGCCATGTCTCCCCAAGAGAGGAGCCGAGAGGTGCCCGGCAGCCCCCCCTCTGCCCTACCTGCCCTGCCGTGCCGGCTACCACCATCTTGGCCGTGTACTTGCAGAGAGCGATCTTCTGCACGCCCAGGCGTGGGTCATCGCTGTAGGGATCAAAGCAGCCCACCTGCAGGCGAGGAGGGGGGAGCTGGGTGCCTTCATACAGCTGCAGGGCAGCCCCCCCCCCCCCCCGGTGCACCCCCACGTCAGCCCACCAGCTGGCGGGTACCGGCTGCGGCACACGGGCTGCTCCGGGCATCACGCCCGGGAAAAGTCTGTCCCCACGCGTCCCCCGGCTCTCCCCCCGTGCCGGGGCAGACCCACGAGATGGGACACATGGAACAAGCGTCTCTTGTGTCCCCACGGGGCGTCACACGGCAGCTGTGCCGAGCTGGGGGACACGTCCCCAGGGCACAACTGGGACGGCTCCGATGGGTGCATCCTCCGTGCCCGCCTCTGGGTTTGCCCCTCCGGTGCCGACGGAGGCAGGGGGGTGCTGGGGGGGTCCTCAGCGACGTCGCCCGGCCCTGGTTCCGGGGACCTCACCTTGCGGAAAGGTGGCCACTCCTCCTCGCCCGCCTGGTTGAGGCTGTCGTTGTGCTCACAATCCGTCTGGAAGATGTTGGCGGTGCCCAGCTTGTAGAGGGGCTTCAGCGAGACCCCCGAGGCGTCCCAGAACCGCACTGTGCCATCCTCGTGCCTGACGGGGGGGGACAGGGAGGCCCTGTTAGCACGGAGCCCTGACATCTGCCTGGCTAACAAGAGCCGCCTGTGTGCTGGCAGCCACGGTGCCAGAAGGGGGGGGACAAGGGGGGACAACGCAGCAGCGGGTGACACACTCCTGCCCGGCCATCAAGCTGAATGAGAGGGGGGCAGCCCACCCAACAAAAGTGGCTGGAACCCACTGCCACCCCATCCCACTCCTCCGCCGCTGGAAGAGGCTGAGGATGTGTGCGTGTGTGTGTGCACATGTGTCCCAGCACATTTTGGGTTTCCCAGGACCCCCCTCCCCACTTGCCAGGCCACTCACCCGGTGAGGAGAAGCCCCCTCTGTGTGGGCTCCTGGGCCAGGTTCTTCCCCCCGTCGATGGGCCAAGCCTGGAGGGAAGGATGGAGGGAGGGATGGAGGGAGCCCACCCATGGGGAGCAAGCATCATCCCTCCGCCAGCCCAACCTGGGGGGCTTGGAGGGATTCCCCCCACCGCCGCTGCCATCCCCATCACTCACCGCAGAGGAGAGCCGGGGGCTCTGCTGTTCGCCAGCGCTGACGATCCTCTCCCAGAGCTTGAGGGGCACGTTGGAGACGTGGCAGGAGCAGGTGATGGCGGAGGAGTGGAGCGGTGCCAGGTACGGGGCAGGGATGGTGGGCCAGCCCGGCGTCTGGAGGTCGATGGCCACCAGTTCTTCTTCCACCAGCACAACAAGGGCACGGGGGTTCTCAAAGCCTGGCAAGGGGGGAGATGGCTGCTGCTAGCGGAGACCCCCCCCCCCCCACCAAACCCCGCTCCCCAGGGCCGCCCTGGCAGAACGTACCTCCCTCAGCCGCCTCGGCGCTCTGCACGGTGAAGAAGTCGATGACGCGGGAGGTGAAGTCAAGCGTGGCCAGAGTCTGGCCCTGCAGCACACTGACGCAGTGCCGGTCGCCGTAGCTTGCCCGCGGCATCCCCCCGTTGAAGATGATGAAGGGGTTCCTGGGTGGGATGAACCGGCCTCCATCAGATCCCAGACCCCACAGAGCATCCTCCCCGGCAGCCTAGGTCCCCCCCCCGCCATGCCCATCCCCACCCCGGCCCAGCTGCTGGAGGTGGGGGGGTGTGTGTGTGTGCACACCGGAGCAGCCCCCCATGCCACGGGGACGTACCCTGACTCGCAGGTCCGCCAGAGAATTTTGCTGATGGCTTTGCAAGGGAACGGACCTGAAACAAAAATATCAACCCCACGGTTGCAGCACCGGGATGGGGCGATCAGCCCCCCAACCCCAACGACCCTCCCCGTACCGTAGGGGATGGTGGACATGACGGGCTGCTGGGTCTTCTGGCCGGCACCACTCACTGCCCACACCATGTACCCACCATCGCTGTGGGAGCTGACGATGCTCTTCCCGCTTTGCTCCCAGGCCAAGCTCTCCAGCTGCTGCAGGAGCACACAGCGGGGGGCTTGACACCCAGGATGGGTTTGGGGGGGGTGGATACACGCGAGGCCGCGGCCCCGCCAGCCCCCCCACCATCCCCGGTACCTGGTTCCCTAGGAAAAGATGCTGGACGGTGCGCGTGCTCTGCTCCCAGAGGACCACCAGCCCCCGGCTGTAGCCGATGAGGAGCCGGCTGCCATCGCGCGGGTGTTCCTGGATGGACTCCACCGGCCCCAGCGCCTTCCCGCAGCGGTAGTCATCAGGGACGCTGCGTTAGGGGGGGAGGACGACACACAGAGGGGGTGTCAGGGGGGGCTGGGTGTGGTGGGGAGGGGGCGCAGGGTCTGCAGGGCTCACCTCTGCAGGATCT